GATCATGATATGCTGCACACTTTCTTTATTACATAATTAGCTAAGAATACAAAAATACAATACATAAAAAAAAATAAAAAAATAAAGTAAATGCATCATAGGGCATAGTAGCACATTAGCCAATTACAGTATGCCAAAGTTTAAGAGAGAATACAGCCTGTTCCAAATTATTATGCAAATGATATTTTTCTCATTTACCTAAATAATTGATGTAAATAACAGTAAGCATAATTCTCATGTTATCAACTATTAAAGCGGCACTGTCATGCCGAATCCCGTTTTTTTTTTAACCCGCCTCCACTACATCCAATTGACCCACTAGTCACCCCCAAATGCCCCTAAGCCCCCCACATTACCTATTTTTTAATCCTTATTTTCTGCCCCGATCTTGATTCAGGGCGCCGCCATCTTTGTGTGGGTAGGTGAAGTCCCTATGGGACACGTCATCAGCCCACACTAGGCAGACTGTGAGATTCCCGCACATGCCCAGTGAAACACCTGGACATGCGAACGGGAATTTCAGCTATTCATTCATTCATCAGACAGACGAATGAGTGAATAGAAATATCAGCCGAACAAACTAACACAATGTATCAGTGTATGTTTGTTCGTTCAGTTTATTACAAGGAGGGAGCTACCGGCACGCAGCTCCCTCCTTGTAATATGTAACTATAGAAGTGGCAGGGAGCAGTGCTCCCCACCACTTCATAAGCCCCCCCCAGTACCCCCTCTCACTCTATGGGGGTCAATATGACCCCCATAATAGCACAAGGGAGATTAAAATCTCCCAAATGCCCTTACTCGCTATACCGCGAGTAGGGGCATGTCTACTAAACAGTGAGCAGCCTGTGGCTGCTCACTGTTGAAAAAAAAGACATAAATTACAATAAGGGGGGGCGGACCAATTGTCCTCCCCCCCTCCCCCACCCTGAGCGGCGGGTGGGGGCCATGAAGATAATGAGGGGGGGGGGACCTACTGTCCTCCCCCCCGGACCCCACCCCTGAGCGGTGGTGGGGGCCCTAATAAAACAATAAGGGGGGGGACCTACTGTCCTCCCGCCCGGCCCCCACCCCTGCGCGGTGGGTGGGGGCCCTAGTAAAACAATAAGGGAGGGGGGACCTACTGTCCTCCCCCCCTGGCCCCCACCCCTGAGCGGTGGGTGGGGGCCCCAGTAAAACAATAAGGGGGGGGACCTACTGTCCTCCCCCCCTGGCCCCTACCCCTGCGCGGTGGGTGGGGGCCCCAATAAAACAATAAGGGGGGGGGGACCTACTGTCCTCACCCCCTGGCCCCCACCCCTGAGCGGTGGGTGGGGGCCCTAAATGAGACACCCCCCACAATCAAGGTGACTAGGGGTCCCAAGCCCCTAGTCACCACCCCCCCACCCAAAAAAACCTATCCCCTACCTACCCCCCTCACCCTACAAATAGTGAGGGGGGGAATAAAATAACTAACCTGTAAAAAAAAAAAAAATAAACTTACCATTTGACGTCTTCTTTTTTCTAAAATCTTCTTTCTTCAGCCCCCAAAAAGGCCAAATAAAAATCCATTACACCCGTCGCACTTTAAAAAAAAAAAAAAACGAGCGCAAAAAAAAATTAATCCAAGTTCGCCCTTCGAGGGCACGCCGCATACTGAGCTCCGCAGGGCGGGTCAAGGCTTATAAAGCCTTGCCCCGCCCTGCAATTAGGCTTAGAACACTCTGATTGGTGGGTTTAAGCCAATCAGAGTGCTCTGAGTCATTTTACACAAACAGTAGGTCCCCCCCCTTATTGTTTTATTAGGGCCCCCACCCACCGCGCAGGGGTGGGGGCCAGGGGGGGGCCAGAAGTTCCCCCCCATATCTTTATTTAGGGCCCCTACCCACCGCTCAGGGGTGGGGGCCAGGGGCCAGGTTCCCCCCATCTTTATTTAGGGCCCCCACGGGCATGGGGGGAGTGGGGGGGGTTATTAGTTTGGTTTTTTTTACAGTGAGCAGCTATAAGCTGCTCACTGCTTACTACACATGCCCCTACTCGCGGTATAGCGAGTAGGGGCATTTAATTTACTAATACTAAGTAATCTTTACTTAGTATTAGTAAATTTGGCTGAAAGACCAATTTGTCTTTCAGCCTTTTAGTAGCTAACTCCCTGATACCGTGGGAATTAGGGAGTTATCTACTAAGCGGCTGCAAGATGCAGCCACAGCAATGAATAGGATCGGAGTTTAATTC